ACCAGCGAGGTTGTTCATCCGCCCTCCGTTAGATACTCACCCCCAGTTACAGGAGTGAGTGGTCAGTGACCCTATAGCCGGTCACATTGGCTTTGACACAGCGCCGTACAAGCACTTGTGGTATTTAATGGAGAAGCAGGTGACCAGCCCAGAACTCCCCACGCTCTGAGGCGTTGCAGCTAATTGTCCGCGACTGCCTATTCATCTCGCCTGCAAGGCAAATGAGAGTTATTCGCAGTTACCTTCACAAGGAAGGCATTTCCCGATCCGCAACCTGGGGACGCGCTCCATAGCGTACAGCTCCGCCACGGGAGCGGTTCACTCGCTCTTCCTGCTAAAACACGAAACGCCGAACACATTAGTTGCTCACGCGGTGTTCCCACTAGATGTGAGCTATACTGAGAAGGCAGCGATGGTTCAACGTTGTTAACCACTTTATGTCTGTCGACCCAATTGGTCAGGTTTCACAACCGTATAAGAGGGCTGAAGGGATGGCCGCATTGTAAACTCTTTTCTTCAGGGAGAGAGTGATTTCGCGTCTGCGCCACAGCTGGCGGAGATTGGCAAAACTACCTCGAGCTTTTGCTATACGATTTGTGACCTCATAATCGATCCCACGGGCGCTAATATAGCTGCCCAGGTACCTGAATTCCTGAAAGATTTCTAGCTGATCATTACCAAGGGTAAGCGTAGGTATGGGTCCATGCCAATCTTAGAGAAGGAGTTTGCATCTCGAGAGTGCAAAGCCAAGCCCAAAACGATAGACAACCAGTGCTGCTTGGAAGGTGTGGCAGCTGTCACAGATTAAAGCAATCTCGTTAATATAATCCAAGTCAAGAAGTCGGTCACCTGAAAGCAGCTCCACTCCTTCCATATCGTGTCTCATGAATGCTGTTTCGGTGACCTGGTCGATGTTCAGATTAAACTGAGAACGCGACAGTGGACACTGTCTCACACCACAGAAGATAACGAATGGTGGAGACAGATTGTCATAAACCCGCACTCTGCCCGATTTATGCGCGTACAGCATTCTGGTAATGTTTATATAATCTTCGGGCACACCATTCCTGAGTAGACAGTCCTAAAGGGCACGTCGATCCACCGATTCGAAGGCATGTTTGATGTCGAGAAACACCACTACGGTGGGTCGCCAATAAATATGGCAGTGCTTCAACAATTGACGCAAACTGAAGATGTGGTCGATGCAGCCTCGATTTTGAAGAAACCCGGAATTTGTGCTCACAATTCTGACTTGCACGAGTGCCAGTCAGTCTGTGAAGAACGACAGACGCAAGCTATTTAGACACTCGCATGTGACAACAGCACAATGTAGGCAATAGGGATGTTAGAAGTCTAGCACCCGTGTCTAGCATGTACTGTTCTCCAACACCGTTTGCGTCAGCTCAGTCACGCATTGCGCATGTCTGTCCATAGTTTTGTCGTCGTTCACTGTTTGCACTTTCTGGATGCGAATGGAAAAGGTGCCGCGGCAGACAACCGAGGAAGTGGAAAAGGATCATTAGGAATATTGCTTCAAGCCTAGCGTCGGTTGGTTTTGTCTATCCCATAGTTGGGAACTAAGTGATGCGGACCACCAGTGGTTAGAAGTTTTGGATGTCATGGCTCGCCATAGAAATCAATGGCGTCAAAACTGCTCTGCCATTTTTTTCAAGCAATGTTCAGATTTAAAAAGAAAACAAACTCAAAAGGGGGTGCGTTAAGCACAAAAACAGAACCGATCCCCATTGTGACTGTGAATTCCAAATTCACGACAGTGAACTCTTCTAAGGACAATTAACGAGTAGCTTGTACATTATCAGAATGCACTCGCGAAACTTCATCGAAATATTTTGTCTAATTGGAGGCTGACAGCTGAATGTTATAAGTGGACAGTTTTCAGATTTACTTAATTTCTGTTACTAATTATTTCTTGAAGTGTACACTATTTTCTAGTCTAGTTTGCGGTGTTAACGAAATCAAACTTGCTGGCCCTGACGGAAGCTACCTACTGATTCTTAAATCCATATCGGCCATCATTTGCCGGCCCGTAGCCTTAAAAAGCACAAGCCTGCTTTGTAATCCGAGGGCGCGGGTTCGAGTCTGTGTAGGGACCGGCGGACCGTCGCGGTCTCCTTAGAACACGTGCGACTGGTGGTGGTTGCGCGGCAGCGAAGTGTCGGTACTGCGTAATGGCGTACTGCTTATGTCTCATTGGTCATCATCTTGACTGCCGTGACAGACTCGTTCAACAGGTCACTGTCCGAAGGTTCGCTGTCGATTGATTGGAAATGCTCGGTGAAAAGGCCGATACCGAAGGGCGGAAAACCCAGCAAAGTGGACAAGTGGAGTTGTCTGACACCTATTTCGGCCAAGGTTTCCGAGATTGTGAAGAAGGTCCAATACAGCTGCTCCAATCAAAAGATCTACTGACACCCGCACAGCACCGTTTTATGCTAGGCCGCATAGGCAGTAACAACCTGCTGGTGACGAGGCATGAATGGTTGCAGGCAGTGAATCAGGGAAAGACTATAGACATAATGTACATCGATTTCAGTAAAGCGTTTGACAAGATAAATCATGAGGTTCTCCTCTACAAGCTGAAAATGTGCGGTGCTGGTGGATCACTGCACCTGTGGATCCAGGTATTTCTTGTTGGACGAAATTGGAGGGTACAGGTCGACGACCATCTAACTGACTGGAGTCTCTACTAGTGGAGTACCCCAAGGCACGGTGCTGGTGCCCACTCTGTTCGTAGTCCACATCAACCTTCTACCTCAGCTTCTTCGGTCACCGTGTGCCCTGTTTGCGGATGACCTGAAGATGTGGAGAATGACTAGCACCCCAGACGATGCCGACTACTTCAGAAAGACACCAAAGATCTCTGCATGTGATTTGCGGAGAGTCCGCCAACCGATCAACATAAGCAAGTCGGTAAGTATGAGCCTGGGGAAGAATGATGACGAAAGAATTTACAGTATTGACGACCAACCACTACATCCCACAACTTCCATGTAGGAGTTAGGCATACTTTCGCGCTGCGAGTTGAAGTCCATTGATAACACGAATAGACTATATCGTAACAACTGTGCATGCTTTGAGCGATCAGACGCAGATTCTGCACTTGGTCTGAAGAGGTCGCCACTCACCACTATTCCTCAATCATAAGAGCGATACTAGAGCACGGCTCGGCTACCTACTGCCCAAGTACCCGATGAGGCACAGAAAATTGAACGGGTCCAACAAGTCGCTACTAGGCTTACTCCGAGTCTACTAGGATTACCGTTAGAAAACCGATGCAAGAAACGAAGCCTCTACACCTTGTTCTATCGTCAGCTGCAAGGCGACAACATCGTGACCTACTGTTATCACACCTCGGTGAGTTCCCCAGTTTGGGGATAATGATTCCCTTGCGAACGCCATTCAGCATATGCGGATCCGGGTAGAAGCTTGCGGTGCCGGATATAAGGCGATTTCCCCACCGCCTATGATTCGAACGAAGAGTGGTAAATGTTCGGATCGGTCTGCCAAAACCTATCGTGGAAGCCAATTCGGTGCAGCAGCGTAAAACGTTGCTGGATTTATATTTCACCACCATTCGGTTCAGGAAACGATTGCACACCGACCATGACATCACACAATATGTGAGCCAAGTCAGACATTTTGAAATGATACACAAGGAATTGGAGAGAGATTAGGGTAGCAACAAGTGGTACATACATCTTATGACATCGTTGATTATATTCTGATGGAGTTGTACAGATTTAAATTGCTACTTGCTCACACAATACAGAATTCAGGAAGTAACCGAGAAACGGATGTGAGGCATTTGAAACTTTGTTCGAAACTTCAAACACTTATCTGACAATCGCAACAATCTTTCTGCCACATTCCAGTCCACCTCTTAGTCATTTTGTTCATCCAGACTAATTGTTATCCCCGGTACAATCCGAGCCGAAGTGGTCTGGTTCTGGATTTAGGGTTGATTAGCTGAACCGATTAAGATGCTAATCCCAACTCCCTATAGTTGGTAATGCAAGAACGATCTTAACGTCACGCAGCTGTCGATGGTTGCTTGGCAATTACTAGCTGTACAAAATCTGTAACCGAACACTGTCACTAATCAAAAACGCCAGCGAGCTCAGTGAATGCGTGCAAGACGGCGAAATGTCGACGGACAAGGGCGAAGAGTGCATTTGAGTGACATGCATTTGTACGCTCGCAAGCCTTAAACAATCTTATGTCTCGATGGCTGAAAAGTTCCGCAAAAATGATACACACGTCAACGCATTATGACGCATGGGAGCAGCGTGTTCGAATTAGTTTGCCGTTGACTTGCATATTCAACTGCTCTGCAGTAAGACTGTTTCCCCAAATTTGACAGGGACGAAGACTACAGGGAATAGGTGAGCAGAGAAGTGCAATGTGGCTTTACACGTACGACTAGTCGTGGTTCCATCCAGCAGCGGTGCTATACAAACCAATAGCAATGTGATGCCTTGAGTGGAAAAGTTAAACTGTGCAGAGTAGAAGAGCGACGGCTTCCCCAACCGTGACTTTCTCACTTTCAGTCACAAGGTGGCCACGGTGGCACTGCGCCACACTACCCACGTCAAGTAAGTGCGTGAATAACGCAAATGAAAGAAGTGTACCGTGCAGTACACTTTGACCTGAGAAGTGGTAAGCTCTAAGAAGAATTTCAGCAGCACTCGCACGTGCGGGAACCACAATGTTCTCTTAGTAACTAAACTTGAAAGAATAGCCACGACTTGTGTTTGAAAGAGAAAAGGAAAATTAGTGGCGATTCTTACAACTTAAGAAGACACCAATATTTAGTGCATCACTGGAGAAATGCCATTAATAAACTATCCGTTTGTTTGAATAAACTGACACATTGGCAAGATAGAGCCGGAGGAGCCAGAACAAAAAACGCACCAGCAGCAGAAAAATACTGGCTCCAAAGATTAACTACCTGTGAACAGCAAACAAAGTATGCGACTTACAACATCACAATGGGTGGAGGCCCGACCACACGTAACAGGAAGTCGGTGTAGCAATTCGGGTAGAATGTGGTAGGAACGATGATGTAGCGTCCATAAGGCAAGCAACTTAGCCGAATCCACACAGAACGACTGTTTCGGTAAACCGAGCTTGCAATCAATTGGAGAGCTTCAGTGGGTTCACTAAGACAGAAAGTTCGGTTCGATTCTACCTGTGAGTTGCAATCGAGTGGAGGAGATCTCGAGTGTCGGTAGAGGTGAGAGGAAAAGGGTAGGTGAAATTGAGGATGCGCAAGCGATAGCGCTATCGCACTAGATATAAAGTACAATGGTAACGAAATGTGTGTCTATAAGGAGAGAAAGAAACCAATTCTGGATGGGGAGAATCGACGGTCAGTATGGCAGAAAGCTGACGACGGCTTCACGTCGAAATGACTAAGTAAAAAAGGTCGGACAAAACAAGCAGGACTCGTCGAATCGGCAACAGTAAAAGTCAAGAAAGCAAGCAGGGTGTCAGACTCACATCCCACTGTCCTGCCATCATCATCAGCAGCACCAGCATCAGCAGTGGTACGTAAGCACTTTGCTCTGGCACTTCGCTGTCACTCGGCCATGTAATGTCATTGGTGTAGGAAAGGTTGGAACAAAAGGACACCCGATGCGAAACCCAGAAATCCTGCGCAATCAGGATTAGAACGGCCGCAGCTTGCCAACACCATCCCGACACACACAGCCAGTTGTTGTATGAGAGGATGACGGCAATAGTAGGACAGTCTCTTTGGGTTTCAATGCCTCAGGTTATAACCAAACATGCTCAACAGACAGTTTAGATCACTTAACGAACGCAAACATGCCAGTGACATCAGCTGCGCGCAGTATTAGGTAATAGCTCGAATTAAGCACAGGATGCAACGTGTGAAGCTCAGCTTAGGAGGCAAGACAGTCGCAAAATAGTGCTCTGTGATGCCCGCACGCTTCATCAATGTGATTACGATGGTGCAAACAAACATGGGTAATGTACTCTGGATGACCATGGAGTTGAAGGTGCTTGAAATACTCCAAGTCTAGGGAACAAATGTAATTGTAGTAACTCACCGGGGTCAGCAGAGACGGAATCCGAGATCAAGGTAAACATCGACGTCCAGTACAGAGTCCCACAACCCCTTCATTTGCCACTGACATGAATACAGTGCTCAAGCAACTGCTGAAGTTAAATCCCAACAAAGTAAGTGGCCCCGACGGATTATCTCCCCTTGTCCTCAAGGTGTGTGCTGATTTCGTGGTCAGCCTCTTGCTGATCTGTACACGTTGTGCATACAAGAATGTAAAGTTGTCGACTGTTGAAGAAAAGCTAAAATCACGCCAGTGCCAAATAAAGGCTCACATAAATACCGGCCAATTGCTTGCACCGCAGTAAACTTGAAGGTCTTCGAGAAGATTATTCTTGAAAGGATGATGACTCAAACTCTTCCAGATGCTCCGCTTCAGTTTGCTTACTGTAGACTGTGGTCTACTGAAAATGCACTAGCCTATCTGGTAGATTCAGTGCTGGTATCACTGGACAACAAGATCAAATCCGTGCGAGTATGTTATCTCGACTAGAGTAATGCTTTCGGCAGTGTAAACCGTGAGCTTCTTTTGAGAGTTCTGTGTGATATCGGAATGCAACCTTCTAGTCCACCTGCTGAGGGGCTATTTATCTGGACGTGCCAAGTTTACTCGACTTAGGGGTGAAAGTTTCTCGCTACTCAACACAGCTACCAGGGTTCTTCAAGGAGCCATATTGTCACAATACCTTTTTTCCACTTATGTCGCCTCATTACCCACTGCTGACGAAGCGGTATCGCTGAGATATGCAGATGACGTGGTCTTAGGTAGCCGGCACCGAACCTCAACCTCATCAATCAAGCTAGAAGCCTATCAGGACGAGCTTGCGTTATGGTCCAGAGCTCACTTTTTAGCGTAAAATGCAGTGACATTCATTTTCCCTTCAAAATGACCGTCGTTATCAGCAACGTCTAGTGGACCGCCCTGAAGTTCACATATATGGTGAGTGGTTGCACTCCATCGAGTCTGTGAAGTACCTAGGTGTTACACTCAGCCGTGATCTATTATGGTCACCGCATGTGAATGATGTTTTTAAAAAAGTGAGGAGGCTTTCATTTTACGCCCCTCGCTTGAGATCCTCCTCTGTCCCCCGCTACCTATAATACTTCGATTTATCACCGCTTGCGTCTTACTGGACATATTGCTCCCCTGTGACATTCCCCGGTTTTCTACGGATGCGTTGCAAAATCCTAGATGGGTCATTGACAAAACCGGTATTCCAAAACCTATCTTTGTTGAGATTGTTGGGTCTATTCATTTCTGCTTGCTTAAAAAATACTCGCTGATGCAAGTCACGCTATTTTTGGTGCACTGTCTGACTGTTTATCAACTTCCACAACAAGACAAAAGTACAGATCCATTTAATCTCGTACAAGCGCTTATCACGCATCCGTAATCTCATATTTGGTGTGTTTTTTGTGAAAACCAGATGTGCGTCGTTATAGAGCTTACAAGAAAATTTACACTGTAACAATATTACTGTCTCCGCTGCATATTACCTTTTTGTGTATGCTTTTTACAATGCTGAAGGCGTGTGTATAACCGCTGAATATCCACCACCACCGGATGCATAAAGCTCCTCCGTGAATTGAATTGATAAGTCTCGAAACTTCGGATTAAGTGAACTGCCCGCAGCGGCCACACTTCCGTCCCAGTTAATGTTGTTAACAAGAAAGTGAATGGATCAAAAATATTCGGTCTCTCTCGGTCAAGTTTCAAAAAAGTTGTTAGACGAGTGGACTGACACTTTGAAAAGTAGATCAAACTGCTGTCGGTAAGTAACTTCAGAGGAGTTGCCGTATTTTTGAAACAACTGCTCCTGCCATCCTCTGTTGATTGCCATGGTTTTAGGCGGCTCTCTGTCCATTTAGACAACCGAATTTTCATATATATATATATTGGTTGGCGGCATCCGGTTTCGGATTTGCCTGTCACTGTGGCAAGCCACAGGGACGCCTGCGCCTACAGAGGGACCATGGATGGCTTGCGCTGTACCACCCACAGCTCCAACCACACACCCCATATCCAGTGTAAACCCGAAGGAATAAGACCGGGAGGCATGTGGATGGGAACCAGGTTTCATCAACGGAGCCGGCCCACACTCCTTCACAGACAAACACAAGCACACTGTATTTGGGAATCAACCGCATACAAGGCGGTGGCTGGACCGTAGTCCGCTCCACACTGAGTGCATGGAACCACTCTTTGATCCTAACACGGCCACAAGGACCGTGCACCCGGTCCCCTCCAGCAACGACCAACTGTCTCCTGGAGCCAGTATGGACGAGGTAGTGGGTAATAGACAGGTAGGCACCTTGTCAACATGCACATCAAGCGCAGCCACACCGGGGATATCAAATAACAGCCAAACACTTGAAAGAGAGAAAGAAAAAGAGAAAAGAGAAAAACCCGATTAATGCATAAGGAAACGGTGATTTAAACCTTAATTAAATAGCATATGTAATAAGTTGATTACAAACAAATCCTAGCTAAGTGCACGAGGTCAGAAAGTATAGTTCACGGAATGTCACGAACACAAAAATGTTATGGAAATCGAATACAATTGGCTTAGGCGATGTGTGCAAGTTAATGAAATAGAGTACAGGGAGATATTTATATGAGAAAGAAAAGCATTAAGGTAAAAACTGTAAACCCACCACCTGAAATAAAGAGACTTAGCATGCAAGCACGCGGTTAGTAAATCGAATTCAGCGTGCCTACAAACGCTGTGCCGGCTCGCCGTAATTCTCTGTAGGACCCGTCGTCGCTTCTGTAGTGGCCCCAAATGGCATAGCTCATGGCCCACTAGACATTTATATGAGAAAGAAAGGCATTAGGAGAGAACCGAAAACCCACCACCTGAAATAAAGAGACTTAGCATGCAAGCACGCGGTTAGCAAATCGAATTCATCTTGCCTACAATCGCTGCGCCGGTGCTGCCTACTTTCATTCCTGAGCCATCATCTCTTCGGCAGTGGTCCCGAGTGACCTCACTCATGGCTCACTAGGCCTGCCTGACTAATTCACTCGCGACCGCATGTTCTGCAGCACCAATCGCTGGATGTCGGGGGGTACAATTCATCGGTGCTTGCCGCCTCCGCATCTGCCGCTTCTTCTCTGCATACATGAGGGCTTTCTCCC